CAACACTAGGGTTGGTTAAGAATTCTGGGTGCGCGTAGGGCGCGTGAAGGATATGGCAGAAGTGCGCCCTGTTGCCAGGGGGGGCATATGCGTAGCTCATCGCGAGGATGGCTGGGCACGAGTCTGGGGCGACGCGTCGGGGCGCGAGCTCGATCCAGATTTCGCTGTAGAAGTCTGGGGGGGGGGGGGGCCCCCCCAAGATGGAGTAGTCCAGGAATGTTTGTGAGCAAATATCGGGGGCGAGGCTGCTGGGGCCAATTGCCTGCAAGGCCCCCCATGGCACGAGGGGATGACGTGAACCATGGTGGCGAGGTAAACCCTGAGTGCCGACCCCTCTTGGTGGCTCAGCAAAGTTGGATTACAAGCTTCCCAAATTGTAGTATAGTCAGCCGCCCCTCCAACTGGTAAGCGCGCGGAACGGCGGCTCCCATGGCAATTCCGATGGGGCCTCGCGGTTTTAACCGGGCGGGTGGGGGCGGGGTTGGTGGGGCTCGAACGCGAGCTTGCGCGCGTTAGGCGCGCGTACTTTTACGCCCATGTCAAGAAGAACACATCATCGGGTCACCAGGGGGTCCGAGCGCCAGGCTTGCGTGGGGAACTGTTGAAGTCAACGTGCGTCACCTGGGGCGCTGCCAGCAGTTGGAGGGGCCGTTGCGTGGACGCCGCGCGCGATGCTAGCGTCGACGGCGGGGGCGCGCCGCCGTGCGCGTCTAGATGTAGGACAGGGCGAATATTGTTCAGTTGTCGTTGGGGACATTGGTTTTCATTGAGTGATGATGTTTGCCTTGACTGGCTCGAAAGTGAAATCTAACATCCGTGTGAAGCTAGAGTCCGGTGGCCGTAATTGGACCCGGGCCATCGACCTTTGATGCCGATCTGGATCCTGGCTTGAATGGACTGCGGCATCGGGGCAATACAGAGGTAATGGTATGAGGCAGAATCAGAGGCGCTTGAGTTGGGCGTCGACCGCTGCAAAGCGAGGTGACGATATGCCAGATTCCGAGCTGCGGTTGGCCTGGGCGAATCCATTAGCAGGGGGTGTCCGCCCCCCCCTTCCCGCATGTAGTTTTCATTGAGACCTCGCGCGGGGGATCGCCCAGGACCCGACCGGGACCCGGCGCGGGGGAGTCCAGCAACATGTGGGGCGTATTTCGAAACCGCAGCAGTTGGGCTGCCAGTTTTCTCTGTATTCAAGAACACTGGATGGGTTAATTTAACCAATGCGCGTTCGACTTCGCAGTTGCGGTGTAAGCGTGTGGGAAGTCGACAAGCGGAGACGCAGTGATGTCGGGGTAAGTTCTTATTCAGCCGCGGAGTTCGATGCGGGGCGCGAGCATTATACTTCTGGAGCGCGGGGGTGCTGGAAAAGAGTTGGGGCGCCCGAGTCGATGGGGGCTGTTGTTTTTTTTTTTGTTGTTTTTTGTTTGTTTTGTGTTTTGTTTGTTGGCTGTGTTGTTTTGTGGTTCTGTTTTTTGTTTTGTTTTTTTTGGTTTTTTGTGGTTTTTTTTTTTGTGTGTTTGTCTGTTGTTTTGTTTTTTGTTGGTTTTTTGTTTTGTTTTTGTTGTTTTTTTTTTTTTTTTTTTTTTTTGTTTTTTGTGTTTTGTGTTTTGTTTTTTATTTTTTTGTTGTTGTTTTTCTTGGTTTTTTTGTTTTTTTTGTTTGTTTGTTTTTTTTTTGTTTTTTGTGTTTTTGTTTTTTTGTTTGTTTTTTTTTTTTGATTGGAGGGCGCCCGAGTGGCATTGGGGCTGTAAGCGGTTCCCAATGAGCGCGAAGTGGATTGCGGCATCCCGTTAGAGCGCCAGCCATTGCCATTGCGAGCGTCGCGGATTGGAGAACGTCAGACATCGAAGTCTGCCCGCCCTAGTCGCGAGAGAAGGTAAAACGAGGAGGCATCAGTGCGGTCGAAGTAAGGGCTCGCGATAATCTTGCAGACGCTTTACCTACGCATGGGGGCATGGACGGCGCGTCCATGCATGCGGCGTGCCAGCCAAAGTCGCCTTAACCGAAGGCGCGAACAGGCGCCCGCTACGGAGTGCTAGTTCAATCCCAACCCGTAGTCGGGTTTTCATTGCAAGCCGCTTTGCCGCGGACTTGGATTCTAGATCCGTAGAGATCCACGTGCTGCTCGTCCGTGATTTGTTCAGCATAAAGCACAACGTGTTCAACATGCTGCACGCATCGGTTCTTTGCAGAGATCGTGGAACGCGTGTTAGGCCCCCCCCCCGCGCGTCTAGCATACTTCAGTGAAGTAGCAGTGTCATTCAGCAGGGTGCTCAGAAAATGTTTGCTCCATTGTCGTTTGGCTCAAGTTTAATATGTCTCGAGGGAAAAACGGCTCGTGCAATGCGCTGCGGGCTTGCGCCACATCCGCCGACCCGTTGATTGTCGCTCTTTTCCAATGGTGTTCTTTCGGTGCTTCCGTGAAGTTTTTTGCGTGTTTTGCAGATGCGTCTTAGTTATTCACCGGTAGGGTCAGCGGCCCGTTTTCTCCTGGCCCCGCTGGAGTTGGAGCGCCCGCCTGGGGGGGCGCCCGCGGAGAACGAGAGCGACGGTGCAAGCGCGGCGTCGGGCGCCCAGGGGGCGGCCGTGGCTCGCGAGTCTCGCGAGGCACAAAGTCTCGCGCTACGTCTCGCGACTACGCGGGCGGCCAAGCGCGACTGGCCTGAGCGCCGTTGCGGCGGGGGCAGAGACGGGCGGGCGTTCGCGAAGGCGAGTGTAGCCTATAGCGGGAGACGGGGCAGCGAACGTAGATGCGGAGCCGGCGCAGATCCGAGTCTTGGGGTCGACGCTGTCGGACGCGCCCCGCACTCGGCATGTCGTGCACCATGTACCCCGCGTGATGCATCAGTTTGTTGCGCGTTTTTTGGGGGGCGGCGCTTCCGTTGCGTTTCAAGCGTGGCGTGGGGTGCCACGCGCGCTGGAGTGGCAGTTGAATGCGCGCCATCGGCGTGGGCCAGCTGCGCCCCGAGTGGAACTCGCAGTGCGGGCGCGCATCATGACGCGTCGGGTGGGCTCGCAGTTCCGACGAGGAGGGTGGGGATTCGGCTTTAGGGCATCGTCTGTCTGGTTCCATATGGCCGCGTACATGGCGCGATCTATTCGCCAGGCGGATTATCGGGGGTGCTTTCTGCGGCGCGCACAAAGATCCGCCAGCGGGGGAGCCCGCGATTGTGCGCGGAGATTTCTCGCAGTTGAAGCACGTGAAATCGTTGGGCCCGATGGCGAGGCGTCTGGCTGCAGGAGCCAGCACGGCTGCTCGGAAAATTGGAGGCGCGAATTAGGTGCGGACGCCGGTGGGGCACGACGCACGCGCTGCATGCATCGCGCACAGAATGTCGTTATTTTTCGCGACGTCGCCGAACGAGAGGCGCAATGTTGTTGTGGAGCGGCTGTCGCGATCGCGATGGGGGTGCCCAGGGGGTTGCGGTGGGGCGCGGGGGCGTCGCGGTCCGACGCGCGGGGTGTCGCGGGGGCCGCAGTTGGGGCACGCGGCGGAAGCTCCCAGAGACCCGAGGTCGACGGGCGGCCGGGGAGAGGCGGCGCGGGGCGAGGCGGGTACAGACGCGATGGAAGTCGGTGTCGAGGTGGACATGCCAGTGCCTACGCAGTTGTTGGCAGATGCCGTGCCCGCCTCGGTCGAGCGGAGAGCAGTGTTGGTTCGGGGCCCATTGGCGGGCGTCGGTGGGTTTCGGGCCATCGGGGCTCGTGTTGGAATGTCTTATGGGCATGCGATATTGTCCGAATTGCCCGGATTGCGAGTGCGCGGACTTGCTCGGGTGCAACCGACGGGGGCGGGCGGGTGCGTAGGTCGCGTTGACGGGGTGCATGGCAGTATCAAAACGCAGCAACCGGCAGGCACCTTGCACCTGCGCGCGCAAGTGTTCGCGCGGTGCCCGCGCCAGCGCGCGCCGCTGCGCGAGCTGGCGCAGCTGCCGAAAGCCGCTTTAGAGCGGTTTGTACAATGATGCAAAGGTGCAAAATGAACGCGCGTGGTCAGGAGTGCGCCGGCACGGGGGAGTGGTGGCGCAGGACGGCGGAAGTGAAGGAAGCCTGGCCCGCCTACCAGGGAGGCGACGCGAGTGGCGGCGTCGCCAAAGTTCCCGTGGACCAGTGCGACCAGTGCAGCGGGGCAGGTCGCGGGGCGCGGGAGCTCTGAGCAGCGCGGCGAGGACCTGCCGAGCGCGCGTCGGGTGTGTCAGGAGGCGGGAAGGCGGGGGGCGTGCAAGGCCAGGCGTGGCTGCAAGGATATCTGAGCGTCTGGGTTTACAAGGGGGCCCGAGTTCCAACGTAACCGCGTCAGTGGGGCACGCGGCTGCGGCGGATGCTTCCGTTGACGCGCTGCCAGAAGCAGGGCGACGCGACGCAGTGCAATAATTTCTTCCCGCGTACGGCGTGGCTGGTGGATCGCGCAGTAGCGCTGTGTCAGGGCATTCTGAGGGCCCGCGACGCGCCCGGGGCTGGCCGGAGGAACCTGACGGGGTGTCTGCACGGGCCAACAAACGAGGAGAGTTTGAATCGCTTTTTGCTTGCCATGTTGAATGGTCCTGTGGGGTTGATTTTCAATGGCGATCTGCAGATTCCGCACGGGACCCCGATCGCGGAGGCCACGCGCGACAGTTGCGCGTGCAAGGGGCGTTCTTGGGAGACGGATCAGCCCATGGACCCGGCGCTGGCAGCGCAGCGCGCGCAGAATGCAGCGGCAGGGTGCGCGGTGCGCCCCGTCGTTCAACGAAGCGACGGACATCGAGAAATGGGCGCCACGCCCTGGCGGAACAGACGAAAGACAGGACGGCGGCGCATCGAGCACAGAGACACATGAACGCATTCTTCAGTGACCAGTGACATGCACGGAAGAGGCGTAGTTCGGTCGGCCCAGGAGAATGCGAGTTTGCGCGCGCGCAGAGATTCCAGGGACGCGGCCGCGGCGGAAAGCATCAAGAAAGCGAAAGCAGGGGCAGAGGTAGTGCGTCTGGCCGAGCGGCGGCTCGCCGACAGGCGAGGCGCGGCCGTGGCCGCGTCGGGAACGTTGGAGGCGGATCGGCGGGACGGGCCAAATATGGTGCGAATCGTGTCGAAGAGCCGCTTGTATTTGTGCGGCGCTCGTCCTGTGAACGAGCTGGGGGCGCTCGACTTGGCGTTCTTATCGCTCTACGAGTTTTTGCGGTGCCGGCGCGTGGACCTTGCAGTCTGTTTTCGCAGCGAACTAGAGTGGTCGGCGGCTGCCAGTGAGCAGTGCCAGGCGGAGTTGACGCATTCGGGCTTGCAGAAGGTGCGCAACGCAGGCCGCGAGAAAAATGCAGGCTGGCGACGACCGACCGCAGCGCGGAGAACAGTTGGAAGCGGGAGTGAACTACGTTGCGAAGGGGGGCGGGCGAGGCGCGCGGACGCCGTTCCCGAAGCCCTTGAGATGGAGATCTTCAGGCGCCCGCGGTCTCGAGATTTCATGGGGCGCCGCGGCCGAAATATGTGACGGGAAAGGAAGAGAGAAATGGGCTCCTGCTGATGGCGTATTTTCGGGCGTTCACCCTTCGAGATAGCTTGGATTGTGGAGTGCAGCATCGGCGGGCCTTCCGTGGAGCGCGCGGACGTGGGCGGAGACGTCGGTGGAGTGGCCGCAGAAAGGCGTGCCGTGTGAAGAGTCGAAAGCAAGATGTGCGAAAGGGGCGGGGTGTTGACTTGGGATGGCGAGGCAGCGCGGGGGGCGCGAGCGGCGGTCGCGGCGTCGAGGGGACAAGGAGAAAGCTGCGCGGGGGCACTGGACGGCGCCCCGCATGTAGCGGCGGGAAAGAAGACCTCGGCGTCCAGCGTGCGGAGGTGGAGATGCGGGCTTGCGGGCGGCGGGCTGAACGGCGGTCGACGTGGCGTCGTAGAGAAGGTGGCCGATCGGGTTCTGGCGCGAGATTTCTCGGCCCCCGGGGCGAAGGAGACGAACGGGCGGGCGCGCGCCGAAAGTGGGCGGGGCCTCTCCTACGCGCTGCGCGGCGGCCAAGGGACTGGGAAGAGCTTCGTCATGGACAGGATCCGGAGGGAACTGTTCGAGAAGGAGATGGTGCGGGCGCGCGGCGTGCACTTTCAGGCAGCAGCTTTGCAGGCAGCAAACGCGTCAGCCTTCAACGGGAAAGCGATCCAGTGCACGCGGGGCGGGAACGTCGAAGACGGATGGGGGGGCGCGGGGGGCGACGGACGCGCAGAGTCGAATGAGAAAACGAAGAGGGAAAGGCCGCGCGGCGGATGTCACAGTGGAAGTGACTGATCATCGACGAGTTGGGCATGGTGGGCGCGAGTTTCTCTGCAGAGCTGGGCTCGCATCTGCGGTCGCGCGCGCCAGCGGCCAGCGACGCGAAGATCGGAGAAGACGGCGTGAATGGGCCGTTCGGGGGCGTGCGCGTGTTGTTATGCGAAGATTTCTGTCTGTTGAAGCCGCCGTCGGGGGCGACGTTCAATGCGTTGCCCGCGTCGTGCTTTCAGCGCGTTCAATGCGTTGCCCGTTCAGCGCGCGAGGAAGTGCGCCCCGGGTGTCGCGGATAATCGCAGGCGGCATTTCTTTCGGGGCGCGGGGGGCGAAGGGGCAGCGTAGGGAATGGCGGAGATGACAGAGTTCATGCGCGGGGAGGGCCAAAACGACTGGCCCTTGGAGCGCAAGATGAATTCAGGCGCGGTGCGTCGACAGAACGCACGCGCAATTTCTCACATGGGGGGCCGGCGGATGCGCCGGGGTCGCCGGCGAAAGGCGCGGCGCAGGTCGGCGGCGTTCGGCGCCGTGAGAGCGCAGATGCAATTGGGAATGCAAACGGGCCAGAGCGCGTGTTTGCACAGGCGAGCGAAAGAAGAGAAAGCCCGTTGCGACGTCGCGCAAAAATGCGCGGTTTTGAGGGGAGAGATTTGCAGAAGCCGTCGCTGTTCATGCCGATCGTGTCATTCGGTGCCACGTCGGGAAGCAGGGGGCCGTGCAGTTGGCGAAAGAGCGAGTGGAGCAGCTGCTCCGGGTCGCAGTCAGGGGCCGCCCCTGCCGCGTGGGGGAACTGAGGCGGCCGCGCGCGGCGCGATAAGGAATGCGCAAGCTTGCCGGGGCGGCCTCCGATGGCGATGGGCATGCCCGCTGCCTCGGGGGATCTTGGATCGGCATGGCAGCTGCTCTGGGGGCGCGCAGCAGCGATTCATGGATGGGTTTCGCGCGCGGACGAGGTTGTAGGAGGTGAATATGATGAGGTCGCGCTGCATCCGACCAGGGTCACTGTGCTGGACTTCGCTTGAAGGGCTGGCACCTCCCGGCATGGGGGCCGGGCTGCATCCAATCTTCCCATCGGGAGGGCGCCGGTGGTTCTTGGAATGATGCCGCGCCCCTTGTTGGGTGCGAAGCGCGCGCAGTCCATGATTTCTCCGTCGTTGGCAGCGACGGCCTGCGCCGCGCGGGGGCGGGCCCTGGGCGCAGTAACGGCGGACCTTGAAAGAGGGCGCGGCGCGCGTTGGATGCCGAGTCGCGCTGCAATCGCGCGCGCGCGAAAGCGAGACAGCTTATTGATCTTTCGGCCTTTCGATAGGAAAGCCGCGCGCCGCGGGCGAGATGGCCGGCGCGAAGGCGCTGTTTCAGGTGCCCGGAGGGGGGGGTCGTCGATTGGGAAGGTTGGGGGCCGGAACTCGCGCTGCGAGTCTGGCGCGAGCGGTGCCGGCGGAGGCCGCTGGTCGAGGCGTTCACGCAGTTCGTGTTCCAGAGGAAGGACACGCCAGCGTTCTGCGAAGAATGCGCGGCGGAAATCAAAGGCGCGGGCGAGACATGGCGCGGGGGCTGGCGAAGCGGCGCGGCACGATGGCGGCCGCGTCGGAGAGGGGGCGGTCGACGTGAAATGGCGGGGAACCATTGGGGCCGCGCATTGCGCGAAACGCAGCCGTGTCAGAGCCAGAGCGCAGCAGATGTCGCGCCGCGGCAATTCGAAGTGAGACGAAAGCGTTGGTGCGGTACGATGTTCGAACGAGACGTTCCTGTCGCTTTTCGAAGAGAAGGCGGATGCGTTGGAAACGCAGAAGAAACACAACGCAGCAGGGGAGAGGCCGCGTCGGAAATGCGCGGAGGGGAGGGGCAAGGTGACGCGAGAAGCAAACATCTTCAAACGGAAAGCAGATGCGGAAACGATGCCGCCGACGTGTTGCGCGCCAGGTTGGGGGGTGATTTTTTGGGGGCACGGGCCGTTTGATCCAGAATCGGGTGAAGGATCATCGGGCGGCGAAGCGAACCAGAGTGGTGTGCAGGGGCTGTAGCAAGCGCGGCAGAGCCGCGAAGGTAACGGTCGATGTGGCAAAGCGGCTGGGGCGAGATTTGACGAGCGCGGCGCGCAGCTCGTGAGTTCCCGCGGCAAGGTCACATCAGTAGCGCACAGGAAACGGAACATCTGACAAGGGGAGCGAGAGCGGTGGGCGCAGAGTACAAGGATTTGGGTTTCACGGCGCGCAATTGGCAGGCGTATCAGTGCAGCGGCATGTGCAAGAGAAAACATCCGAAGGCTGCGTTTTTCCGCGAGGCCTGACAATGCTTCGCGCGACGAACAGGAAGGCGCCTTGAAGCGCAAAGCGTGCAAATGTTGCCGATTCGGGCGCCCGCGCCGTGGTCCGTGGAACTAGGGCGGGAATGGGGGACAGCGTGGGGGAGAGCGAAAACGAGGAGGGTACATCGGAAAAGGAGGAAGCGCAGAAGGAGGAGGAGGAGGAGGCGGAGGAGGAACAGGAATAAAAAGAGGAGGAGGGGGAGGAGGAGGAGGAGGAGGAGGAGGAGGAGGGGAGGAGATGGGAGGAGGAGGAGGAGGAGGAGGAGGAGGAGAGGAGGAGGAGGAGGAGGAAGAGGAGGAGGAGGGAGGAGGGAGGAGGAGGAGGAGGAGGAGGAGGAGGAGGAGGGAGGAGGAGGAAGAGGAGGAGGAGGAGGAGGAGGAGGAGGAGGGAGGAGGAGAGGAGGAGGAGGAGAGGAGGAGGAGAAGGAGGAACAATAAAAAGAGTCCGGATTTTGTTTTGGGGCCCCAAGTAAGGTTTCGGGGGCTGTCGGGACGATTCCAGCACGACCGACATGCACGCGTGCACCCCGGAATTCGACACCCTGTGCAGGCTCCCTGGTTTGGGGTCGCAGTCTGAGGGATGCGTCGCGGCGTGTCGTCGGAACGCTCTCGGGAGACCGAGGCAGTGCCGAATGGCGTTCGGTTTATCCCACCACCGTGCGTGGCATGTGGGCGTGAAGCCAGTCGGATGTTTGATGGGGCCTCGTCGGAAGTCTTCCAGGCACGCTCTGGAGGCAGATATTGGGCTTCGTGGGAACGTTTTGGGAGGCTCTTGGGGGCGTGATGAAGCTTTCTTCGGGTTCACTGGGAGTTTCTTGTGGCCATTTGGGGGCTTCTTGGGGTCTGGGGGAGCCCTGTAGACGAAAGCTGGAAATGTCAGTTCGGGTCGCCATCTCGGCCCTTTCTTGGCGGGGCCCTCATGGGCCGTATTCCTTTTTGTTTGGCGTCTCGGGGCCGTTGTGGGCCGTTTTGGAACTCATTTGGGGACCTCTTGGGCCGTCTTGACACGCTGCGAAAGGCCAGCAGACAAACATGTTAAACACGTACGTTTTCCTAGGGCAAGTTTTGTTTCATCGGGGCCTCTTGGAGCACTTTTGGGCCGTTTTGGAGGCATTTGGGGCCGTCGGGATGTCATGTTGGGCGTGTTGAAACGATTTTTCGGCGACTCGGGACCCTCGTGGGCTGTTTTCGGGGCCTCTTGGAGACTTCTTGGCCTGTGACGTGGCCCTCTGCTCCCCCATGACGCGTTCACCCGGGGGTTGTTTGCGGCTGGGGGGGGTCAAGTTCCGGGTGTGGGGTCCCTTGGGGTGATTAGCAGGGGGGAAACATCTCACACGCCTAGAGACCCAAAAGGTGTCAGCGGATTTTCAGGAACAGAAGGGGGGCAACGAGGAGCACAGGCTGCACAGTAGTAGGAGGACGAAGAGGAACATGTGAAAGGCATCGAGGAGCAGGAGCAGGAGCTGGAGGCGGATGCGGCCAGACCAGACGCAGCGAGGTCGTCGATCGACTGCTTGGTCTGGGCGTGTGCCGTATCCATCGTGCTGAGCGTCCTGTTCCATTTCCTTGTTAAGTTTATCCCGCAGTGCAATCTGCGGGCAGAGGCGGCCAAACGCAAGAAACGGTGGTCAGAGGCGCTCAATCAGAAGCGTTGGCAGCAGCGGGCATTCAGGTGTATGCAGCCAGCGCAACGCGTGGTTGACGGCGAGGGGACGGCCCTTAGAAGGCAGAGGTAGGGCTCGAGCCAGACGGTGTTTCGGCGATCTCGTGGACCGTTGCTTCGTTTTGACATCGTTTTGACATCGTTTTGCAGCAGAGGCGGAGCGAAGACAGAACAAAGGACAACGAACACATAATGAAGTCTGGAAACGCAATTGAGCTCGAGCCCCGGGCAGAGGGACCAATTGGAGAGCCCCCGCCCCTCAGAGGCAGCACGTCCCGCGCCCTCCGAGGAGGCGGGGGGGGCCGCCTCCCGGATCCAGGTCTCCGACGAATGGATTCTTGAGGCCGCGTGCCCTGGTGGCCTCCACTCCCCGGGAGCAGGTCCGAGGCCGCGAAATCGGGGGGCGATAAATGGGGGAGTAGCAATGGGGGGCAGGAAGGGTGCCCTGTAGGGCTCCTACAGGGGCCATTCCGGGTCCGAGAGGGGGCCTGTAGGGTCCAAGAAAGGCACTTTATTTTCCCCACAACTAGGGCCCCCCATTAATTCGCGCCCAATCCCCCGGATGGGCGCGAAGAGAATTGTGCTTAGCGCATCGCGGCTCGGGCTGAAGAGGAGCCCTTCTCCAGGGCGGCGGCGCGAGGGCGCGAAGATAACCGTGCGTCGCGCACCGCGGGGCGCGATGCGCGAAGTTTTGGTGACCTGGTTGAAAGAAGGCCGAGGCCTCATTGCAGGGCTCCTGCCCCTGCGAGAGGCAGTGCGCCACGCGCCCCAGGAGGAAGCGGGGGTCCCTCTCTGACCCAGGCCTCCGACGTCTTGCCGTTTGAGCCCGCGGGCCCCAGTGGTCTCCAGCCCTGCCCCGGGAGCAACGCCCGCGACCCAGATCAGTGTTCGATGGTCTTGGGGTCCCGGGGCCTGGTCCAGGGGCCTGGTCAGTGTTTGAGAGTCTGGGATCAGGGGTGGGGACCGGATCTCTGGGATGGCCGTGCCCCTCGCCCCGCACCTCTCTGCGTGCCGCCGAGGTGGGACGGCAGCGGTTCTCTGCGTGCCGCCGAGGTGGGACGGCAGCGGTTTGTCGCCGCGACCGACCGCCACTTGGGGGTATTGCTTCGGCCACGCGGCGAATGCGTTGATGAGGAGAGCGTCGCTTCTCCTGTTGTTCAGCCTTGTCATCCTCTTTGTTGTCACCGTCGCGGAGATCGCGGTGTACCGTCGGAACAGGGACGCGTACTGCAGGAACTACATAAAGCGAGAGCTTGCGCTGTACGACGAGAACGGCAGCCCGAGCTGTTCAGCTTGGGTGGGCGCCATTCACGGCTACTCGACGCCCTGGTGGAAGGACCGAGCACAAGCCATCGGCACAAACACTATATTTCAGAGGTCCGCGCGGATTTCTCGGGCTGCGTGGATCACACAGTAAAGAAAGCACCAGAAGCACTGCGGGGGCCTGCGTGCGGAGTCTGCGGAGGTCTGCGCAGCGTCTAGGAGTGTGGCGGGTGCGGAGGCCCATCCGGAACGCGGCGCTGCACAGCGGCGAGCCTGACGCTGGCTTCGCGAGCCTTGCTGGTGCGGTGGGCCGCCCAGAACTGTTCCAAGCGAGCCCACAGGAAATCCGCGCGGACTCGGGAACGGTGCCACGGGAGCGGTCCAGACCGTTCGGAGCGCAGTCGACGCGGGTGGTTCTCCGAACGGTCGTCTGGAGCCCCGCGCAGGATCGTTCGTAGGACTCTGCACAGGGCCTTGTGCAGAGCGCCTGGTTCTCCAGAGGAGCCGGACGTGCTGGATCGCCTGCCCACCGCGCTGTCGGCTGGATCCGAGAGCGTCTCCGTTACGCCCAGGGGGGATGACGCGGAGCTGTTCGTGCAGGGGTTCAAGCTGGTGGTGCTGCCTGGCATATCTCGCATGCCTCTGGCGCACTGCCCGCCTCCCCAATCCTCCCCCGTCCTCTTCCTCCTCCTCCTCCTCCTCCTCGCTCCTTCCTCCTCCTCCTTCCTCCTCCCTTTCCTCCTTCCTCCTTCCTTCCTTCCTACCCCCCTCATCCCAGAAGTTCTTGAGAGCCATGATCTAGATGCGGTGACAGAGCCCACCATAGATCTCCTCCCCCTCCTCTTCCTCATCCTCCTCTGTGCTCCCCTCCTCCCTGCCCCTCCTCCCTGCCCGTCCTCCCTGCCCCTCCTCGTCCCTGCCCCGTCTCGTCCCTGCCTCTCCTCCTCCTCCTCCTCGTCCTCCTCCTCCTCCTCCTCCTCCTCCTTGCGCCTCCTCCTCCTCCTCCTCCTCGTCCTCCTCCTCCTCCGCTTTTTTTCCTTTTTGTGTAACTCCTTCTTGTCGGTAGTTAGGCTGGGCTTGGCGTTTCGTCTGAGACTTCCTCGCCGCTTCTGTTCCTAAGGTTGGAATTTCCGAAAAGTTGCGCACATTCGATCAAAAAGCTTCCAGCAGCTACACAGGTGGAGTCGTTCGGTGGCCCACTACTCCCTTCCCTTCTCTTCCCCTGCGCCGACGACCGATGACGGCCGACAACCACCGCGATGGTTCGGGAGAGGCCGGGTCGGGAAAGGCTTCGCGCGCATAAGCTTCCCCGGACGTGGATGGCGGATTGGTGGGCATTTGTATGTTGCCGTACTTCGGCACCGTCGTGCTATCCCATGTGATACAGATCGTGGGACCTTTGTTCGGAGGCTTTCGCAGTCAAGTTCTTCACCGTTATCGTCGTCGTCGTCGTCGTCGTCGTCGTCGTCGTCGTCGTCGTCGTCGTCGTCGTCTTCATGAGTTGTGATGGCGCTGCTGTTGCTGCTCCATGCGTTCGTCACCTGTCAAACTGCTCCTCCCCCGCTCGCCCCTCACCTCGCACCACCTCGAAGGCATATTTTTAGTCGGCATGGTCCAGTACCGGGTATACGGCCCGGTTACTGGAAATGATGCTGGTGTGACTCAGGCGACCATTTGCGACCTTTGTGCACATGATTCGGGATGGTCGATCTGAAGGAGGATGTGTGGGAGATGGAGGAAGAGGAGAAGGAACAGGAAGGGGCGGGGGAGGGGGAGGACCTCTGGGGAGGGAGGACACTGCGGAGAGGGGGACAGCCACATATGATTTGCGCTTCGTCGCCCCCGGCAAGGGCACGGCCGGCGGGCATTTGTCGTGCCTCTTCTCCCTCTCGGCAGATCTGTTCTATCGCTCCTCTCGCGAGGGGAGTTCCCTTATCTTGCAACGCTGACGACGGGCAGTTGGGCTGCCCGAGTCGAGGCCGGGGATTCCGAGTGACGGCAAGCTTCTCTGCAGCTCTCGCGCTTACTTTCCGAGCCCGGGCGTCTGCCCTCACGACTGTTGCGATTCTGCTTCCAGTGTCGATTCTCTCCAAGTCTGGCGCCCCAATCAGCTGAAAGAAGTTCGCCACCAGTGGGATGAAGCCGTGTGGGCGATTTTCTCGCGTGTGTGCTTGGGAGCCACCGTGCTGCTGTGCCCCTTCTACTCGGTGCTCCGGTCTTCGTTCCACCAGTACTATAGAAGGCGATCCTCCCCTTTCTCTCTGCTTTCCCTCCCCCTCCTCTTTACTCCTCCTCCTCCGCATATCGCTCCTGGGGATTGCATATTCCTGATAGGAGGAGCCTGAGGATGAGGAGGACGGGGAATATTGACAGATGTGCGCCTTGCCTCCACTCTCCTTTTTCTGATATGTTTTTTCCTTTACCCTCTCTCTATATATTTCTCTCTCTCTGTTTTGTGTTTTTGTTTTTTTTCTTCTCTATCTCTCTATATGCATATATATATATATACACAAGCATGTATATACATATATGGTCGCCCCCCCCCCAAAGATCCACCTTTTGGCGGGTTCTGAAATGAACGTTCAAGTTGCCTGCCTGTCCTCGCCTCTTCCTCGCCCCTTCCTCGCTGGCGCAACGCTGCGCCAAGGCGAGAGAACTACCGTTACAATCTTGCAGAGAGAAGTCGGGCAGAGGTCTGGGAGGAAGGAAAGCATTTGATTTCATTTTTTTTTTGTTTTTCTGGTATGGGAGGGAGGACATCATGCGATGCCATTGTTTTGTATGGTTTTTTTTTCTGGTTTGGGAGGTGATTTTATTTTTTGGGGGTCTGGGAGGAAGGAAAGCCAGTGATTCCATTGTTTGGGAGGTTTTCCTGGTCTGAGAGCTCAGAAAAATTATGGTATCATCGTTGTGTTTGTTTTTGTGGTTTGGCGGCTTGGCGGCACATGCCAGATTTTGCGAGCCACCAGATTCGAAAAACCAGAACAAAAACAACGCCTGGCCAGGTTTTCTGAAATTTCAGGCTAGAAAACAACAAGACAAATCAACGCCTGACCACGTCTTCTGAGCCAAACCAGAAAATTATCCTGGCGAAGGGCCCAACCATACGCAAGTGTGAGAACCGCAGGGCAGGTGGGACGAAGCAAGGGGAATTCCCAATGGGGCCACGAACCGTGTGAGGGGTGCGCCAAAATGAGGCGGGGCCGCCATGCGACCCTGCCGCTGGGGCCTTCGCTGGAGCTCACTGTGGGGCCACGAACCGTGTGAGGGGTGCGTCAAAACGAGGCAGGGCCGCCATGCGAACCCTGCCGCTGGGGCCTTCGGTGGAGCTCCCTATGGGAACCGTGTGAGGGGTGCGCCAAAATGGGGCGGGGCCGCCAAGCGAACCCTGCCGCTGGGGCCTTCGGTGGAGCTCCCTATGGGGCCACGAACCGTGTGAAGGGTGCGCCAAAATGGGGCGGGGCCGCCAAGCGAACCCTGCCGCTGGGGCCTTCGGTGGAGCTCCCTATGGGGCCACGAACCGTGTGAGGGGTGCGCCAAAATGGGGCGGGGCCGCCATGCGAACCCTGCCACTGGGGCCTTCGGTGGAGCTCCCTATGGGGCCACGAACCGTGTGAGGGGTGCGCCAAAATGGGGCGGGGCCGCCATGCGAACCCTGCCACTGGGGCCTTCGGTGGAGCTCCCTATGGGGCCACGAACCGTGTGAGGGGTGCGCCAAAATGGGGCGAGGCCGCCATGCGAGCCCTGCCACTGGGGCCTTCGGTGGAGCTCCCAATGGGGCCACGAACCGTGTGAGGGGTGCGCCAAAATGGGGCGGGGCCGCCATGCGAGGCCACGAAGCGCTGTACTGGGCGGGTGAAACGCAGGGAGGAGGGAGGGGAGGCAGCGGGAGGAGGCAGCGGGAGGAAGGAATGAAGGAGTGACGCGGGGCGCTGTCTCTTCAAAACGAGGACCCAACACCACAGGATGATTGGGAAAAACAGTCAAAAAACAACGCCTGGTCATGTTTTCTGAGCTTCCAGACGAGAAAAATTATCCCGGCAAAGCAACCTAACAGCGATGTGTAGAAGCATAGCTGGAAACATTGCCTGTGGTATTCATGTAAGAGTGCTGTTGTAGAATTCTGGTGTTCTCGCAATCGCATTCGGATTCGCAGTGGCAGTCGCAGTGGCAACATCAGCGGCAGTCGCAGTGGCACTGCCAGTAGTTGCAGTAGCAATAGCTACACTAGCAGCAGCAACAGCAGCAGCAGCAGCAGTAATAGTAACAGTAGTAGTAGCAGTAGAAGTAGTAGTGATGGTAGTAGTGGTAACAGTGAAGTGTTAGTTGTAGTGTGTGGAGTGAACGAGTAGGAGTGATGGGAGCAGTGGTAGTAGCAGTAGAAACACTGCTTTCGATAACGGTATCTCCAAATGAGATCTTTGTATACATGCATTGAGGTCTAAACAAGACACTGCTATCAACGGATGTGATTCCAAACGAGACACTGCTATCAACGGGTTGAGCCTCAAACGACACACTTGCATCAATGAGTGTAGCTCCAAAACAGGCACTCCCATTGGCATCTCCCACCCCTGCGCACGGAGGCTTCTCGTCTGCAGGCTGAGAAGCTCCGCCGGGCCTGTCGGCAGCAGGCTGGGAAGCACCGCGTGTGCTCGCCGTTGCTTCCGGTGGTGCTACCACAGGGACTCTACGGGAGTGCAACAGCCACCGCCACTCTGGGTGCTCCGGATGCTGAACGCTGGACGCGTGCAGCTGTTCGTTCGGGATCAAAGGCCACCGCTGCCTGTACCTGTCCACGTCCAGGAGCTTCTGCACGAGCTCCGGGGACTGCAAGTAGTACACCCCGCGGTGCTTCACCAGGGTCCGCGCGGGTCGCGCATTCGCCTCGCCCTCGGACACGTCGTCCTGGTCGCTTGCAGGGCCCGCGCAGTGCTCGGATACACGGTCCTCCGGCACTGCGCCAAACAGGCTCAGTTTGTGGCGGTGCTCGAGGTAATCTTTCTGCGCGCAGACTACGCAGGCTGCCTCGCATCGGTGTGCTGCCTCGTTGCCCGAGAAGCGGTTGCCCTTGCTGCCCGGGTGACAGAACTGCTGGAAGTGAGCAAAATTCTGCACCATGAGCCTCTTTTCCTGAGCGGCTATCGGCCTGCAGCCAGCCTCCGCCATCAGGAACAGCACCCGTTTGCGGTATTCCGCCTCGCCCGCGTGGTCCTGCTGCTTGTGCCGCGCAAAGTCTTCCTCTGTAAGAAAGTCGCAGTCGCAGAGCTGGCACACGAGCGGCCCCGTCATGACGGGCCGGTCGGAGAAGACGCGCAGCTGGTCCCCCCCCACCTCGCCGCCGGGAACGTAGCAGCTCTTCCCCGCGGGGGCGGCCGACGCCTTGCGCACCCGCTCCGCGTACCGCTGCGCGAATTCCGTGTGTTGCGCAGAGAGGCTGGACACAAGCTCCTTGTAGGCGGCAAGGCGCCGCAGGATTGCCTTGGTCCGGATGCCAGTCTCGAGCATCAGCAGGTCCTGGTCGATCCTGTTCTGCGCCTCCTCAGCGAATCCTTCCATGGGGTTTGGAAGGCCCTCCGCCTCCGCGATGCGAGTCTTTGTTGTGGCTTCGCTCTCCGCTTGCTTGAAGGCCTGGAGCTCGGCGTCCTGCTCCGGGGAGAAATGGTTGGCCTTCCGTGCTTTCCGGACTTTCTCTGCCAGCTGCCGCTCTGCGAGGCTGCGCCCGGCATGCTCCTTCGGGTGGCGGCCGAGGTCTCGCACTTGCTGCATGAGCTCCTCGGTCTTGTCTCGCTTTTGCTGCATGAGCTCCTCGGTCTTCTGCTTCCGCTTGAGCTCCTCGGTCTCCGTCTGCTGATCAGCACAGCCCAGGGCCCGCAGTTCATGCAAAATGTCTTTGGGGATGCGGTCGCGATGGTCCGAGAAACGTTTGGCCAACTTGTTTTCGGCCCGTTCTTGTTCGGACGTTCTTTTATTTTTTGACGCCCTTGTTTTTTTTTTGTTTCTCACTCCGACTTCCGGTGCAGCCGCGACGCCCTAACCGGCCTACCCCCCCCTCCGTGTCCGCCCAACGCCTTTTCGCCTCGCCGGCGGCACCCCGCCTTCCCCCCCCGCCGCCGGTCGCGTAAATCCGCTTCGGTATATTTTTTTTTTATTACATGGCCGAACTGCTTCACGTGCTCGACGAGCGTTTGCAGAGGGCCGATCAATGCAGCACGCTGAGGAGCAGCGCTGTTCCCTGCCGCAGGCTGAGGAGCACCGCTGTTCAATGCAGCAGGGTCAGGAGCACCGCCGCCAGACCGAGAACTATCAGCATGTCCTGGCATTAAGGTGTGCAGTAGGCGCTGTGCAGTTCCTTTGAAAGGAAATCTTCGAAAGCAGGGCTGTAGTTAAGAAGGCTACGGGGACGATGATGATGACGAAGATGATGAGTCTTGGAAGTTTGGGAAGTGGAAGAGCACGAAGTGGCGTGCAGTTGGCTCCGGGCATTCAAACTGTGGCCCGGGAGTGGAGTTCTGGGAAGTGGAAGAGCACGAAGTGGCCTACAGTTGGCTCCGGCCATTCAAAATGTGGCCCAGGAATAGTGTTCTGGGAAGTCCAAGAGCACGAAGTGGCTTACAGTTGGCTTCGGGCATCCAAAATGTGGCCCGGGAATAAAGTTCTGGGAAGTCGGAGAGCACGAAGTGGCTTACAGTTGGCTCCGGGCATCCAAAATGTGGCCCGGGAATGGAGTTCTGGGAAGTCGAAGAGCACGAAGTGGCCTACAGTTGGCTTCGGGCATTCAAAATGTGGCCCGGGAATGGAGTTCTGGGAGGTCGAAGAGCACGAAGTGTGTGACTGTTTGTTCAAAACGAGCCCGGCCCTCGCCTGTCCGGCTCCCGCCCAGACCCCCCTGGGGAGTCACCAGATGCTCTCTGTTGACCCCATTAGAAACCTATCAGTTTTCGTTGTTAGGTAATTATGAAAACTATCGCCCGGTCACGTTTTCTGAGATCCCAGAGCAGAAAGAACAAAACCTTACAGAACAACGCCTGGCCAGGTTTCCTCAGCTCCCAGACCAGGAAAAAAACATTATCCCGGCAAAAAAGCAACCTACCAGCGATGTGTAGGAGCATATCTGGTAGCATTCCCCTTAAGATTCAGATGAGAATCCTGTTGTCGAATTCTGCTGTTCTCGCAGTCGTAGTCGCATTCGCGATGGCAGTCGCAGTGGCGAAGGCAGTCGCAGTCACAGCCTCAGCCTCA